TGGCCGATTCTGACATGTCATTGCTGCCACCAGACTGTCTTTCTTCCTTGCCATTTTGGAGCTCAAGATCTTGTTGAAGCCCAAGCAACAAGCATTTGTGTCGGCGTGCCATGTACCAAGATCTGGAGGCGCATCAAACAATGCGCGTGTGTCACGTTGGCTTGGCTTGGGCCTTGCCAGATCGTTCAGATCGATGGGGGCCCATCGTTGTGGCGGTGGAAGAGACAGGGACCAAGGTTGTTGGTCAGACTTCTTGTTATTTTCTTGAAATTCCAGCGATTGCCGACGCTCAGGCCGGAAGGCCCAGCTTCCCTTGCCCAACAATGGTTAGACACTCAGCGCTTGTCATGGATCACTTCGACAGCAGATGGGTCACATCAACCAACTCCTTAGAAAGCAATTTCCCAGCCGCGTCTGAAATTTGTCTTCGAGTCTTCTCTGGTAGGCGCGCGTGTTCAGGCCATCTGCGATACAGCAGGCGTAGCTGGGTGCCTTCATTTGACGGCACAGGGCTCTTTGCCAATGATTGCAACAGAAGCATGAGTGTGTGTGCGCGTTTGTGTTTCCATTTCTGTTGCTTCCCACCCCCTTTTAGGAACTTTGGGGTAGACCTGTTCCTGCTTCTTTGTTGCCGCCTTCGGTATTGTGTACGTTGATTCTGCCGGCAAAGGTAGGCGTATATCTGGCGTTTTCGCATCCACTGGCGTCCACTGCTGTCTGGGCGCACGTTGGAGGAACAGGAGAGGGTAGCCAAGAGTACTGCGGCCGCCTAAGCAGCAGGTCCCAATTTAAGGGCTCTAATGAGCTCTATAGCTGTGTTGGCTCAAGTGGCTGAGGGGTCACCACATCCATTTCCATTGCAAGACATCAAACATATTCGTTATGGGGCGTGGCTGCTCTTTCTCATGTTACGCACAACTACCATATTTTGCTCCAGGCAGGTTATCGGCCATAAAGGCTTTCCCGCACCTACTACCTTCTCTCACAGCATATGCCAAGGAGCGGTCACCGCCCCTCCACCACCCCTCCCACCGCCTCCGGAGTCTTTGTAAGCATGTGAATCGCACCCCCTACTCCGTCGGTCCGACACCACCTAGTTTACTCTGAGCCGAGAAACCCAAAACAGCGCAACCAGGAAGCAAGCTTCGCGTGGGTATGCAAGGTGACATGTCTCTGCGCAATCCGTGAAATGGTAGGGTCAACAAGCCGCATTTAAGCCCATCCTAAACCAATCCTCAGCGCGACATGCTCCTGGACTTTAGGCTTCTTTGAAAAGGCAGCAAAACGTCCCCGCCCAAACCAACCCCAAGCCTGCGCGAAACAAAGCACAAAACCATCCCAAATAATCCCACCTCAAACCAACCCAAACCCTATACCAACTGCCCCCTACCCCCAAACAAAGCAAACCGACACTGAACCATCCCTAAACCACCTGAAATCTACGAAGCCACCCTACGCCCACACCCTAAACCAGCCCTAACCCCAGCGCTAAGAGCCACCCACAAACTTGCCCTAAACAAGCCTGAGCCCACCGACAGAAACAACCCTAAGCCAATTTTGAACCCACCCTAAACCCAAAGCAAGCTGGTGATGCTGAAGATGTTGAAATGGGGATAAGCGGCGCCGGGGATGTTGACAGCAGTGGTGCAAAACGAGTCAGAACCACCGCAGAACCAAGGGAGACCACACCCCCCATCAAAATCCAGGAAGAATTCCCAAGCAAAAACGGGTAAAATGTCAGCAAAACATCCGGGCCCCTTGGTTCTTCACCCAAACCCAAACCCCCCAAAAAAGAAGCATCAAAATCCAACCTCCACAATCCCTTCAAAGTCCCCTGAACCCCCCTCCACCTCCCCCCAAAAAATAGAAAAAAGGGGGGGCCTGGGGGAAGTGCTGTTGAGGGTTGCCTGTTCTGGTTTTTATGTTCATCTCAAATCTGTGTTCCCCTTTCTTCGTTTTGAAAAGTGGTGTTTTGGGGAGGGGAAATATCATTTTGTTATATAGAGGTGGTCATTTGGGTTCGTCTGCGACATATCCTATATGAGTTTTACCGCCATCATTTCTATCGTGTCTTTTAAACTTCTTCGGCTTAAATTTCTTAATGACAGTCATACAATTGAAAGAGGCCTGGTCACATTCTTGAGATGGGCCCAGAGAACCCGGACTCAAAAGTCCACCAACTACAGGAAGGCGACCTGAAAGCTTGGGCCACTGCTGAGCCACGGCTCCAGATCCGCTGCCACGAGCATCCCAACCGAGGCGCTGTGCGCCGCCAAGATGCGTGCCGCCTCCAACCCGCAGAACGACAACTCGGCCGCCGAGGGACGCACGTACTCGGGCCAAGGCCTCTTCAGGAGCTGCCCGCTGGGCGGATGGCGCTTGGGCACAACCACCTCCCGTGCCGGGCGGTGTTGCCAAGTGCCCCGCGACAAGTGGAGAACCTCTCCTACACCTCCCTCCAGCGATGGCGATGGAGGCCCAGGGCAAAGGAGGCCTAGGTCCCGCCCGATCAGGCTGTGCAGCCATACGTGCACTAGATCGATACCCCGCTTGGTGGGGGATTGGGACACCATCTGTTCGTAGACCAGGCGTGGGTACACCGGCGCTACGATCTGCGCAATCTGCGTATTAGATTTCATATTGCCTATGTCATATTTCAACGGTGAATCACTCATAAACAATATATCAAAAATAGACAAAAATGTAAATATTAGTATAAATTGTAAGAAAGAAAAACAAAAAGAATAAAACAGAACCAGGTGTTTCTTCAACTGATGAAGATAGTGAAGAGGTTATTAATCAAACAGCAGTTATTGAATTTGCTTGTCCGATGTGTAAGAAGATGTTAGAGGTAAATAATGAATACAAAAGAAAGGAAATTGTAAATGCTCGTGTATTCCAACAAATTTCAAAATAACTAAAAATGATAAGAGAATGAATATGGATAAAACTAAAGACAGTATCAACTTAGAAACAGATGTTCATAATATTGCTATCAAATGGGGTAAGGATGCATCACTCTCGGAAAATGGTGATAAAGAAACACAGGAAACTATACGTGAAATGATGAAAAAAGTATTTAAAGAGTAGATTTAACATAATTGAAACATTTAGCTTTACAAGTTTAGTTTTATAATGTAGTATATTTGGAAAGTGTGGATAAACTAATTTTGAAAATTGATGAGAGAATGGAACAAAATAAACAAAGTTACCAATTGTTAGAAAGTATGAAGAAACCAGCTTACAATAATACTAATATTTATATACCAAAAGAAGTTGATAGAGACAGTAGCGAATACAAAAATAAACGAAACATTTATGTTAAAAACTTAATGAAAAAGTCATAAAAGAACCTAAACAATCAAGTCTGGATTACTATCAAGTCAAGTATAGCGAAAAACCAAGAAATAGGTTTAATCATTAACTAACAAAATTTCGTGTCTCAAAAGCGGTTTGTTTATTCCTGCTACTTTGTAAGTTTTATTACCCATAATATCATATTCAATTTTATCAACATTGAATATTTTATTGCACCATTTAGAGTTATACTCCTTTCTGTCAGTGTAATTACCCCTTTTCTTTTGGAACACTTTTACATTGTCGTTCTCCTCTATTCTGGGATACTTTCTTTTGTTCTTTTCTCGTAGTTTCAGATTGACCTTTACATTTATTTCGTTGTCGTCCTTGTGTGCTTCGCTCGGTGTCATCCTTGTTGATGAGTGTGATGTGCTGTTATACTGTTTCAATGCTGGTGTTACGGCGTCGGTCCATTGCATGTTGCTAAACCTGACTCTATCGTGACTTTGTTTTTCATCGTCCTAATAAAACGCTCGGCCACATTTGCGTGTGTTTTCGTTAATATATGATTGATACCCTCGCTGTTGAAGAAATCCTGAACTTGATTTTGAGTTGCAAATGCGCCATCGTCATCAGAATACACGGACATAGGATAACCCATATTTTTTAAACTTGCCCTCAACGCCTTCAAAACGTGCTCTCCATCTCTTTCATCCATCGGGATTACATCTGCTAATTTACTGAAGATGTCAATCACGACTAAAGCACATAGTGGAACGTTCTTGTCTTTTGCTCAGGGTGTCATGTGCATTATGTCTATTTGATACTCATATCGTGCGAATTGAGCGCAATAGGAATTAGTGCCTCTATAATTTTTGATTTGTTTATTTGGTTGTTTCTTTAGGAAAGACTTTACATCGTCTAATGTTATGGTTGGGTCTTCTTCCTTTGCCTTCTTCTGTGTCGCTTGTGTGCTTCCGAAACCCTCGTCTAAGTCACAATAGATGTTGCTGATTATTTGGTCTTTCGTTAATCTCGCCATTATATTAAATTGTTAGAAAATATTTTATCAACATAAACCCCACCCTTAACATAAATAGAAACTACTTAATGAAATATTAACTTATTATAGTTGAGCAGGAGACAAAAATGACTTTAGATTTCATTAAAAATAACCCTTTCCCAGATTTAGATATTTGTTTTTTAAAAATGGTGTATACAATAAGAAAAAAATCAGATAGTTTTGTGATTATTGGTAGTTATGATTACAGAATATTAGGGAAGATTTACGAAAACGTTTTAGATGAAAATATTGTTAGAGAGTGTGGTGAGTTTCTTTACTCAAAAGATGGTATGCGTGATATGTTGAGATGTCATAACTTCTTAGATGAACTCATTCAATACAACTATGACAATAATGATAATGAACAATATGACAGAGTTATTATAACATCATTACCGAGACTCGTTGAACATTACTGGGGAGGAATAGGGGAATGGTTAGCATAATAGCCCCCAACAAAATAAAACAAGACTTAAAGAAATGACACCTTATAATATTAAACAGGAAAATGCCAATGATAGGAGTGACAGAAAAGGAGCTGGAACAGGATAGAAAGATAATATATTCATTAAGGATAATCCCTATCCATCTTATAAACAAGTAATTGACATAATCAAAAACGATAAAACAATGGAAGAGATATATCTAGATATGTTCGACTTGTATGGAGAACAAAATCATCAATGGATAGAAGAGATTTACGAAAACATAATGGGAGAAGAACTCGTTAAACAGAACGGTAGTTGTATTAATGAAAGAGGAGGAATGACAGCAATGCAGTTTAATTATTACACTTTGATATCAGTGTTGCGTTGTTTAATACAACAAAGAGCACCAATGAAAGATTATGACGTTACCTTAATCTGGTATAATATCAGAAACATCTTGAGCAGTTCTTGGAACAACATAGGAGAGTGGAAACACTGAAAATAGGTTTATTCATCTTGTTCTATAACTATAATATGATTACAACAGTGTTTTATAATCTAACAAGGCATTTAAATGAAACCTGAAACCCCCCTAACTCAAAACTACATAAAGAAAAAATAACATAATATATTAAGAGACAATGAGTGAGAATTGGACTAACTTACCTGTGGAAGTAATAAAAAAATATCATTTCATATAAATTTGGGGGACCTGAGTATTTGAATATAAAGCATAATCATATTAAGACATTAAAGAGAATACAACAGCGATATAAATTTAACAGAACTGAAACAAAAGAAAGACAAAGCACTGTACTGTTATAGGTGGTGATGGTTTCAAGAGACACATAATTAAGTGCTACATTTCAAGAAGTATACCTTTAAGCATTAAAAGCATCAAAAATATATTTTTTATGAAAATGAGAACTTAGATTGTTTGTTAGATGGTATTGTAAACGATGAAGGTTATGAAGTAACGTTAATAGTTGGGGTAAATTTATTTGTAAGATATCATCAAGACGATGAATTTAACATTTGCTATTTATGTTTTGATAGTGATGAGGTTGTAGATAATGTAACCAAATATAATATAGAAGATGTACTGAGTGCGGCGCATCAAGAAATATACAGTTGTATGGATGATGACAGAAATAGAATGACGGTTGAAGGAGTAAAAAACATAAGGCTTAAACTAATTGTTGATGAACCTGTGTAATTCAAAACTAAACCATAATTACAACATGTGTGTCCTTATATGATACAATTATAGCGAACCTTTAACCTATAACAAAATTTCAATGACAAAAAATATCTCAAAACAAATACACCACCAACACCCCAGAACTTGATAACTACTTAAAGGGCTAACTCTTTCAAATGAAAAAATGTCAGCCCCCTGAAACAGGTAAGACAAAACCCAAATGATTACCTTAACGAAAACGATATATAAGCTCCCCAAAAACCCTCTATTAAAAACGAAGAAGGGAGAACACAGATTTGAGATGAACATCAAAACCAGAACAGGCAACCCTCCACAGCACTTCCCCCAGGCCCCCCCCTTTTTTCTATTTTTCCCCCCCCCATCACAATCCCCCCGAAAAACCCCCCCACCACAATCAAACCCAAGAAGTCTCCTTTAGGCGCCGCGGCAGCCAGCGCCTTGGTCAGCAGCTCCCTGCAGCGCCCGCGCAGCGTGGACCTGGCCGGCACGGGTTCCCTGGGGTGACCAAAAAAACGCGGGCGGAAGGCGGCCAACGTGGGTCTGGTGTTTTTTTTATTCTTCTTTTTTCTGTGGGCGCCGGTTTTTTTTGAGCCAAACTAACTTGAAGGATGTGTGCCCAAACTAATTTGTGGGTCTGATTGTTTCGTGGACCCTGGACCCTTCTTCTGTACCCAATTTGAAGGCGCCTGGGCCGAAAAGAACGGAACCTGCCAAAGCCGGCCGAGCCGGGATTCGGGAGCCCTGGTTTTGGCTGTAGGGAAACCAATTTGGGTGGCTGGTGAGTTTGCTCGAAACCGATTCAGGTAAGGATGGCCATTGACGGTGGGTTTCCTCCACTTGCTGAAGAATATGTGTTATTTTCCCATGTTGGTCTTAAGAAGGATTCATCACTGGACAGATTTTCTCATTTTTTCCTGGGGCCTGCCCATTCGCATCTCCAGACTCACCTGGACCCTGGCTGCGGTCGGTCGCAAGCTGAGGCCTACGGAACGAGATCCGCCAGTTCAGCGCGACAGATTCCCTTGGCCGGCGGCCCAAGGTAAGAGAACAGAAAGCCAGGCTGCACATGCTTCCCGAAGGTCCCCCAGGATCGGGGGCCGTTTCTTTTGCCGTGTCTTGTTTGGGAGGGTTCCCCTAAAAGAGACTACGGAAAAAGGGTACCAACTTATTCGAACCTCTCTACTGGAGGACCTAGCTAAATGTTTGTTTAGCTTGCAGAAGGAAATCGTTTTTGGGGGGGGGTCTCTGCATTCGACAAGCCCACCCAATGGGTGTTCTTGTTTGGTCGCAAGTTCAAGACTGCAAGTTCCTTTCGGTGTGATGTTTCAAGGCAAAAATAGGAAAGTCTGTTATAACTTGTGCACCCTGGAGGGGCGATTCAACTTTGTTCAACTCGTAGGGAACCGGTTCCCTAAGTCAGCTACCCGAAGAAGGCACATGAAAAATTTCCACGAGTCCGGGAAATGCGCCAGGAACCACGAGGTGTTGGTTGCCTCGTCCATGTGCTTAAGGTACTGAATGTTAACCTCGGACGCTGGAGGACCATACTGATCCGAGGAATCCCCCGAAAATGAATGGACTCCCCTCTAAAAGGGGGAACTGCCTTTGATGAGTTTTCCAGTTGAACATTACTGTTTCCCCCCTCTGGGGCAAATGGTCATGACTGGTAATTGCGTTATGGTTTGGTGGAACTTTGGGTTTCGTCAACCCTTCTGAGTCTTGCTTGACGCTAGCGCCCAAGCCCCCAAAAACGACGGCTCTACCCGGTTTGGGCTGTTTGAATGATGGTTGGCACCTGCTCACAGGGGTAGAAGCACCCGGTTGCATGGTGGCCATCCATGAAGCCGGTTCAAAGCTCAGCACACGTTTGCTTGGCGAAGCACACATATCAAATTTTCCACAGGTCAACAACATATGGGCGCCGAACGACCGGTCAAATCAACGAACAACCAGCTAAACCAAGATGGCCTCAGGATTCCACTTGACCTCAAACCCCCATGCAGAAATGGCCTGTATGGGGGACCAGATGCAAATCACTTACTTGTGTCCAGACACTGCGGGTTGATTCCGTTTCTTCGTGTTCTTGTGGTTGAAGAGTTTTCAACGTTGAAAGTCAACTACCAAACCACGGAGTGGTTTTTCCCCAATGGCCACTGATAATTTTTGTTTCACGAGTCGCGCCCGCGACTCGTATTCTGTGAACGTTGACCCATTGTTTGGATTTTCAGATGCTTCGAGAGCAGCGAGACGCTTTGTGCAGGGTTGGCCCAGGCTTGTTCGGTTTCCCAAATCCTTTTGGAGAGCGTCCCAAGCGGGTGCCTGCGGTGTGGGTCCGAACGGGTCCCAAATGCCCATAGGTCAAAAGCCCGTAGTGCAACCACTAAAAAGCAACCAAAATGGCTGTGGCTCAAAAAACCGGAATTCCACAATGGGTTGCCCTGGTAAGTGGAAACATGGTTGCCACAACCTGCGGTTTGCCCCTCCGATCGTTTAATTCTGAGCCACACCCAAATGGGATCCCCTTGAACGGTTTTGAGCCACGGCCAACTTCCCCGAGGCCGAGGCCTGCAGAGCTTTGGGCCCATCACCGAGGACGAGCTCCACCGCTCGAGGGGTCTCTGACGCAGAGCTCGCGTTGCTGGAAAACCCCGCACGAACATGGCAGGGGCCCTGATCTTCGTGCTATGTGTGTCAGGGTTGATTCCAGCCCGCTCCTGGCTTCGGAAGACCCAATGGAAGACCCAGACCCTCCAGTGGACATTTCAGAGGGGGTTTTGGGGTCTCGAAACCTGGCGGTTTTGAGGGCCAAAAGTAAATCGGGAGCGTCTGGGAGGGGCTGATTCCTTCTCCATTCTTCTCAACCATCGTTCTTTTCAAAAACCGGCTGTTTCCCCTGGGTGTTTGATGGTTTCCTGAAAAGGAGGATCCCTGGAAAGAATGGAAATGGAAGGTACCCCTGAAACTATACCCTCCTGCACTCACATAGCACCTACCAAGGGCTTCCTTTAAGAAACTGATCTTCCAGGTACCGCAGGTGCTATGTTTGTGGAGGTGCTAAGTCATTTTGCCGTTCAATATGTGTACCGTTTTCATGGCCAATGCACTGAAGTGAGACACGTCATTCTCCCGGCCACAGATGAAAAAGAGCGAGCAGTCGCACGGGATGGCCCTTTGGTTCCGCTTGCGATGACGCAAGCGAAAACGCAAGCATCGCCTTTATCGGAAGCACCAGACCGCGGGTTGCGAGGTGCCAGGTGTTCGTCCAGGGTGCAAGCCCCGGTTCGCCTTGGAACAAGTTTAGCCTTTCCCCAGCTTGCCAGGGCTTTTTGGGATGTAAAATCTTGCCAGGGTGTTTGTTGGGATGTAAATCTGCGAGTGTGCAACTTACTTTGATTGCCACTCTGTGAGTTTGCTTTTATGTGTTCTGCGAGCCTTTGTTTGTTTGCTTGCTTCTTTGGTTGTTCGTTTGTTCATGAGTTACTGATTGTTCTGGAGGTTTGCAGCTCCCCAAAACAGAGCCGCCCGTCCATCTCTTGAACAAAAATGCCCCGAAACCTCATGAGCCAAGGTTTCGGGCAGCTCTTCTCCGGCGGAAACCAATCCGCAGCAACTCCCTGTGCCTCAATGTTAACCTGGGATTCATCTCAAAGGCCCTCAGTGGAACCCTCGAAAATGGTTGATTTCCTTGAGCGGAAACCGGATTCGGTCCATGGATCGATCCGAAGTTCACACTCGACTCCTAAGGGCTACCAAAACCCCAAAAACTGAAAACACCCAAACTGTTTGGATGTTCAAAACATCCAAACTATCTTGGTCAAGCGGCCCTTCATCGAGTCATGTGAACTTCGGATTTGGATGCTTTTCAAGTTTCCAGCTTCCATTCTGTCAGCCAAGTGACCTGATTTGCGCCAGGACTGGCTGCTGCTGGAAGGGGGCGACATGGTCTTGGAGGACGCCTCACCATGAAAGCGGCCAGATGTGTTCCTGTAACCGTTTTTCTAGGGGTACCTTCCATTTCCATTCTTTCCAGGGATCCGGATCTTTCTAGAAAACCACCAAGACCCCTGGGGAAATGGCTGGTGTTTGAAAAGAACGAGGGCTGAAAAGAATGGACAAGGAATCAACCCCGAGAGTTTGGCACTCAAGGTTCCCATGGGGCAGCATAGCCTATGGCGATCCCATCGATCCCATTTTGGGGTGGATGACCATCCATTTGCCACCTAGTTTGAGGTTCACCAGGGGTTTCCTGGGGTTTGACCAGCCAAGTAGCCACTTAAGACCACCACCCCACAGTTTTGCAACCATTGTCTGTTTGTTGTAAAACTGGGGCTCTTTTTGTTGGCCTTTTTGACCACCTCTTTTGTTTCTTGCGCGCTTTCCGCGTGTCTTCTGTTTCCCTGTCGTCACCTTGCTGCCACTGCAGCAAGGCTCACTTTCAGGTCAAGGCCCCGTTTTCATCTCGGTGGCCTTCCTGGTAGGAACCTCATGTCTATACCGCAAGTTATTGGGGGGGGGATCAAACAGGTTTTGCTTGGCACTACGCTCCTCAGCCATGCAAGGCTTGCTATCTCTTAGCAACCCAGGGACCAGCAGTTGCAAAACCTAGGGATGAGTAGTTCTCAACAGTCTTCAGTTATCCTCAGAGACCATGAACAAATATCATGTAGCATCGTTGCTCTGCAACACCCGTTAAGCCGGGCTCCCGTTCTGTTTTCAAAAGCGCAAAACCGCAGGGCCTTCACCTCCCAATGCTTCCAGTGAACACACCACTGGTTCGCCAGGGGAAGCCATCGCTTGAAAAACTGCAGGGCCGCAAGCTAACTGGGATGTTCTCAAGGAAGGAAGAGCCGCAAATGGCCGGAAACCCTTTTGGTTGTGTGTTCCTTTCATTCCATCTCCGTGCATAGGAAACCAAGGGAGCCACCCAGTAAATGGCAGGTTTCCTGCTGTAGAGGAAACTGGGATCCACTAGCCATGGTTGACAATGGCGAACCAGCCATTGTAACACGTCATCGGATGTCATCATCCACAAAGGAAGGAATCTAAGACCCAGACTCACTTCCGCTCAAAGCTAGGATGTTTTGTCCTCTTTTTGGATACCCTGGTTGGGGTTAGGAAAGCCAAAGAAAAACCCATCCGTTTGCGTTTGTTGGTTTTTTACACATACCAAGCTGGTCCCAGGAGTTGCAAGACAGAGGAAAAGTCTTGATCAAAGATGGGGCAAGCTCCGCAGTCCAGATGAGCATGGTCCCAAGAAGCCCATTGAAAGGTTCGATCCGCGCAGGACATCGACGACATCATCCGGGGTGCTACCCGGATCGAGGCGCGTAGAAAATCCCTGGGTGTCTCAAAAGTGAGCTGTGCGCAACTCAAAACGCAGACCGGAGGGATCTTCTGGGCAGTGTCGTTCTTTTGGAGTTTGGCACCCTTTTTTGGGGTTGGCAAAAGAAACAAATTTGGCAAAAGGAACATCGAAACAAGTTGTTGGGGGGTCCAGCCTGAAGAAAAAAAGGACACTCTTCAGGCGAAACGTGAGATTCGTGCCTGAATGGCCACGAGACAGGTGGACTCCTCTGAAAAATCCGAATACCTTTTCCATGGAGCCAAAAAGCGGGGAGTCCTTCCATTCCAGGGGCTCCCAAAACCTTTTTCGGGGCTGTTGGGGCTTGCATTGTCAAGGGTTAAAACTGGGAGCAACCTCCCTGCCCATTTCTTCTCTGGCGCTGAAATGAGGCTTGATTTCCCCTGTTGGCTCAGGGAGTCCTAGGGTTATCTATCACCGACCCAACGAAAATCCCATGTTGACTTGCTGGGACTTTGCAGATTTGTTATGGGAATTTCAGTTATCTATCACCAACCCAACAAAAATCCCATGTTGACTTGCTGGGACTTTGCAGATGTCCAATGGGAATTTCAGTTATCTATCACCAACCCAACAAAAATCCCATGTTGACTTGCTGGGACTTTTGCAAGAATATCTATCACCAACCCAACAAAAATCCCATGTTGACTTGCTGGGACTTTGCAGATGTCCAATGGGAATTTCAGTTATCTATCACCAACCCAACAAAAATCCCATGTTGACTTGCTGGGACTTTGCAGATGTCCAATGGGAATTTCAGTTATCTTTCAGTTATCTATCACCAACACCAAAACAAAATCCCATGTTGACTTGCTGGGACTTTGCAGATGTCCAATGGGAATTTCAGTTATCTATCACCAACCCAACAAAAATCCCATGTTGACTTGCTGGGACTTTGCAGATGTCCAATGGGAATTTCAGTTATCTATCACCAACCCAACAAAAATCCCATGTTGACTTGCTGGGACTTTGCAGATGTCCAATGGGAATTTCAGTTATCTATCACCAACCCAACAAAAATCCCATGTTGACTTGCTGGGACTTTGCAGATGTCCAATGGGAATTTCAGTTATCTATCACCAACCCAACAAAAATCCCATGTTGACTTGCTGGGACTTTGCAGATGTCCAATGGGAATTTCAGTTATCTATCACCAACCCAACAAAAATCCCATGTTGACTTGCTGGGACTTTGCAGATGTCCAATGGGAATTTCAGTTATCTATCACCAACCCAACAAAAATCCCATGTTGACTTGCTGGGACTTTGCAGATGTCCAATGGGAATTTCAGTTATCTATCACCAACCCAACAAAATCCCATGTTGACTTGCTGGGACTTTGCAGATGTCCAATGGGAATTTCAGTTATCTATCACCAACCCAACAAAAATCCCATGTTGACTTGCTGGGACTTTGCAGATTTCCAAATGGAATTTCAGTTATCTATCACCAACCCAACAAAAATCCCATGTTGCTCTGTTGGGACTTTTGCAGATGTCCAATGGGAATTTCAGTTATCTATCACCAACCCAACAAAAAATCCTATGCTGACTTGCTGGGACTTTGCAGATGTCCAATGGGAATTTCAGTTATCTATCACCAACCCAACAAAAAATCCCATGTTGACTTGCTGGGACTTTGCAGATTTCCTAAG